TAAAAAAAAGTAATACCACAGCAAGAGCTTCCAATTTTTTTTTTCAAAAGACAAAAGCTGCTGGGTATATAAGGGTATATAAATGTGAATTTCAAGTAAAATCACCTCTGAAGAGGTAAGCTAAGCAAAGTGTACCGATGGACTACGGTAAGTAGGAATTCATAGCAAATCCAGTTCGTAAACAACGGACAGGAACAAAATTTTCATAGAAAAGCCTGTATATGATCTAGACATTATTAAAAGGCCCCCGAACTTTCCGAATGCTAATGTACCATCCCATCCAATGCACACAGAATGCTGCTCTTGAGAAACTCAAGGAAGCAAGTTTTAGTCTTGGTCTTCAGATGACAAAAATGTAAGGTCAGAACTAGGTTGTTTACACAGGCTACCAAGGAGGGTATAGGAACGGTTTTCTTACAGCAGAATGGTAAAAATAGAGCCTGCCGATTTATACACCACCAGCCTCAATTAAAAACTGAGCTTTGATATGTTCAGAAAGAGGGGAGGAAGACGGAGTTCATATTTCACAGTGAAAAATGTATTAATAGGAAATGAACAGGTAACACTTATTTCTGCTGCCAAAAGATAGGAGGGCAAATCCTTCCCGATAACGGTGACGTTTTTTCAACTGTCAATTTAGGATTTGCCAGTGGAATCCAAATCCCAGATTTGGTGGTTGGATGCTTACACTTCTTCTGAGAAAAATGGAGTAGATCAAAGTCCAAGATGAGATGGAAATATATCAATACTCATTTAACAAACCCAATTTTCAGCCAGATGTGAACCAACAAATTTAACTGCAAAAAGCCACCATGGCAATTGCCTAATGCTAATGCAAGATGATGAGAATATGGTGCAGAGTTTTGTTTAAAAGCATGAAGGTGGCAGCTACAAAAATGATGCAAAAATATGCAAGAATGGGGTCTCAAAGCTCATCTAAGGGTTAGATTAGGGAGACAAAGAGTAAATAATTTATAATGAGGAGTGACATTAACTAAGCTATGACATGCCACATAAGGAAAAGTTACAAGCCAGGGAAAGTCCACATCAGTGTCTCAGAAACCAAGCCAAAAATGACTCCCAGATTACAATAAAAGGTTTGTTGTACCCTGGTGAACCCTTCCCCACAAAAAAACAGTCTCTGTGTTTTCTTGGTCATTATTCCTAGCCTTTGAGCTAGAAAATACCACAGTAAAGGGTGACTTGTCTGTGCCAAGTTAATCCTTCCTAGACATGGTATAACCCCAGAAGCAACACCTAACAAATGGGCCGCAATTTGACAGGTGATGAGTTCGGCCTACTTTCAACGATGTCCTGAACTTACACCCATCACTAGGCTGGGTAGAAAACAATGTTAAAGTAATAACAAATTTAGTGGAAAAGACTGCGGTCAGATGTGGGTCTGTGTGTAGCGTTGTTAAGGTGCAGCCTGGCACCGGTGACGGATGGGCTGCCGCGAGCTGACACCCTGTTTAGAAGAAAACCAAAGACAGGAACATCTACAGGTTAGAACCTGATGGAGAGGAGCAGAGAAACTCTGTTCTTGGAGGAAGCTGATCTGTGTTGGGTAATATTCATCTCACCTGGTTTTAGGCCTCCGTACTGTGTGTGTGTTGTATGTTATCATTTCAGAAGCGGCTGGAAGCAGTGACATATTTAAAAGGCTTAAAACGGCAAGTGAACGTACACAAAATGCGGTATTACTAAAGCATTCTAGACTTGTGCCTTATTTTGTACATAACCTGTAGAACACAACCAATCCTGCTCTGTGCCACGCTTCTCTCTCCATCCTCTCCTCTCCCCTCCTCTACAGCTGGGACATGCGCTATGCTTCCCTCACCCAAACCACCAGCTGTTGCAGTGCTGTTGCCTCTCCTCAGCAACATGCCAGCTCAGAGCTAATGTACGCAGGGTTTTGGGGAACCAGTGGCTCCAGGAAGGAGTTATGCCGAGACGGGACATCCCATACCCCAAAGGAAGCACAAAAAATGTTCTTCTCCCTAGCTCCCACGCAGTGGAGAAACCAGGGAAAAAAGACCCTACCTCTTCTCACTCTCTCATTCCCCTAAAGTCACAGCATGCAAGAGACTACCTCTTCCCCACAAATGACCCACTGGCCCTTTTTCCAAGACTTAATAATATTGTGACTCAAGTACTTTAATGCAGTTATTAACAATGTTAAAAGATTCCCCTGACATCAATCACTGCTGAAGGATGGTGACTCACTGCTGCAGAAGAACACAGTGAGAACGCATTTCACCAAGCATCCTCCCTTCGGGAAGACTCAGTTTCTTATAAATAGAAATAGAAATAGCAGCAGAAATAGATACAATTGTCATGTGAAAAATGTAATTACTGAAGAAACACTCTAAGACCACCCTAAAACATTCCTGAAAGGAAACAGTCTGATGTTTCCATGTTTCAGTTCATGCATTTGTCCAATTTTGTAAACTGGGGCTAAAGAGGGTTAAAAAGCTTGAAACAAAAGTGCTTCACTTGATCCAAAACCAGGGTTTTTTTACCTTTTCCTTGTTACTGGCAGCAACAGCAATGTGAGGAACTGCTGCTCTTCCTCCACAAGTAACCAGAGCTCATAGAGGGCTGCCTGACTTTCTGCCAGTGTAAATATGGACAAACCAGATCCTTGCGCAGAGTCTGTATTCGTTCTAATTGCAGAGCATTGCACACAGACTTACAATAAGTTATTCTAATAAAGTGATTAGTATCACTATGGTCCATGCTATAAAGAGCTTAGATTCAGGGATACAGGTCCCTCTGCCTGTGAAAATTCACACCCTCTATTTAACAACAGCCTATTTTCCTTCATATAGCTGTTTTGAGCACAAAGGTATTAGCAGTGTGGCTATTTAATAAACCATTTTCCCATATCTTCTTGAAATTAAGACACTCATATTTTATGATGGTCATCATTTACCCATTCTTTCTATTAATTTTATAGGAAGTAATTTATAGATTTTGTACGAATCAGGTAGAAGCTCAACATTCAGGATATGCCTTTCATACAGGTGCACTCAGTTGTGTCTACCAGCTTCAGTTCCAACTGGATATTTGCTGCAGGAGTTGTTGAGAGATACGTGATCTGAAGACCAACATGACTTTTCAGATTTCTGCCAAGCTGTATTATATTTTTTATGCTTTATCTTGCCCTTTATGTCCACCTTTGACAATACACAGTTGTGTTTCTGTGCTGTCGCCCAGTTTATATTATGTTATATATGCAATGCACAGACATCCATTCGATAAGGTTACTAAAATAGGAAGCCTTTCCCTACTAAAATATTTAAAATGCATCTATAAGAACAGCAGCTAGTTATCAAATGAGCTCGATATGACTCCCAATAAGCTTGTCTTACTGCCTTGTTTTCTTAAAGCTAATAACAGCATTACCAAAATGTCTAAGCATCTCCTTTGGAAAAGAACAATATAAATAAAATTCCCAGTACAGGTGAAGGAGACAAATTTGCATCTGTACATACAAAGTATATATATCTGTACAGCTTTTGTTGCTAATGTTTTTCCTTGTTTAATGATTGATATTTTCAAAGCATTCTCTGCTTGAAGGATATTTTTTGTCAGGAACATTTAGATTTGGGGTTGAAGACTACTGTTCTATTATTATAGTGAAATTAACTCCCTTTCTTCAAAGAAAGCTTTTGATGTGTTCCTAATATATGGTGTAAGTACAGATTGACAGCACAATGATCCTCTTCACTATTCTTATGATCAGCAGCTGTTAACCTATTTTTATCAACAACTTCATTACTCCAAGAAATGCTTTTGCAAAATATGAATGCTGCTGGTGAGATCATTCCACATGAGCAGGCATCTCCTTATAAATTTTTACAAGCAGGTTCCAAAATCTCACTTCAAGAAGAAACCAACTGCCAAGCCATCCTCCTCCAACACACAAGGCCTCCTCTTCTTTCCACTCATGCTCCAGGTAAGCACAACCCACTCAGGTCATAGATGGGCACCTCCCAGACACCTTTACGTCATCCCTCTGAGAGCTTCAGCACGCTCCCTAAGGCCTTTGGTGGGCTCCACAATATCCTGGGATGCCACTACTGTATACAGAGCCCAAGATAAGTGCTCAGAACTGGTTTTCCCATGTCGGATGCAATCTCAAGTATCTTCACTTTCAGATTCAGATAGAAAGAATAAAAAGAGCATTTTCTGACTGCAGCAAATACATAGACCAATATCACAATGTCAAGGAGGAAAGGATGGAGTTTCCAAAGCGGAAGACCGTATTTGGAGCTCTATTGCCCTCTGTGTCTCTAGAAGCCTAAGCAAGGAAGACCCTGACTCAGCCTTGCTACTCTGACTACTTGCATCCTTTAGACATTCATGATCAGGACCTGCTATGCATCAGGTAAGTTATTATGCTGTATGAACTGTGGGCACAGTGCCAAATTATCCCCCAAGAAACACTAAGGAAGGACCAAAAAATACAGTGAAACTCTGTTCCTTCAAGTGTAAGAAGAAGAAGGATGCTTTGGGCACTTTCAGACTGAGCACTGGAAGCCATGACAGGGCATGGGAAATCCCGTTCCTTGACCTGTGTAGGGAATACAGCTTGCCTGTCAGTGATTTCATCCGCTCTGTATGATCTGCCATATGCAGACTTGTTTTCTGATGCATCTCTGCTCTATGATCCCAACAAAGAACTTCAGAACTGAGTAGGTTCTCAACAGATAAATTAATATGGAATAATACAAATTTCTCACAGATATATGTATGTTTTAGAAATATGGTATGCATACTATGGATGCGAAGGGCAAGAAAGCAGAACATTAAATTCACCCAACTGTTTTCTAGTTCTCATACTGTGTGTTTCAGCTAGTCATTGTTCCTGTATAGAGCACCAAGAACAAACAGTACATGTGTATGGACTTGACCCTCACGCAATGTACGCATTTACAATTTTTTAATTTTTTTTAATCTAACATGTCTACTGGGCTCATCTTTGATACACCTACCGATAAAACCTGAAGAGGGAGGGTTGGGCTGTATCTTCTCTTTAGTGTTCTCCTGAATGATGTCCCAGAGCTGCCATATGAACTTTGGATGGAGAATGTAAAACGGCTGGTTTGGATTCTTCCTGCGATGCTGTACATAGGGAGTGAACAGATTGTAGTCCGGCTTCTTATACCACTGGGAGGAAAAAAGTAAGAATTTTTTTAATCTTATAGTATCAAATGTGTTTTGAACACTACATGTACAATAATGTGAACTAACTTCATTTGGGTTTGTCAGATCAGAAGCAAAGGTAGGAAAGCAGCCTGCACTGGTGGATGCTTCTCCTAGAAAGCCAGTCCTCACCCTGGGCTATTCTGTTTCCTTTCTTCATGCAGAGACTCCCAATAAGCAATTCACTGCAGTGGGACGAGCCAACCCCATCTCCCCCTCACAGGCCCGCGTTAAACAAGGGGTTCAAAGAGCCTTGATACAAGATCCGGGCGTGGGGGTGAAGCTTCCTCTGAAAGTGTCCCTGTCCCTGATGGAGGCAACAGCAGCACATGAAGCAGGCGTAGGAGGCAGGCAGCCTCTGGCATCTGTTGCTAAGGGAGTTCAGCAGATGAAGGTTTACTTTCGACTTTGCAGCCTGCTCAGCTCCAAACTCCCCCTGCCAAGAACCATCAGATAACTGGTCCACTGGAGCTGCAGCACCAGCCAAAGCAGAGACTCCCCCAGTGACAACCAGATGGACGTCTGCTGCTCTCAGTGAGCGGGCGGATGGCGGGGCACAGATGGCTGTGGGGGAGTGGACACAAAGGGAAGACTGGTGGGGAGGAGGCCTGAGAAATGGGGAAGGCACCAAGAGAGATTTTCATTAGGGTGTTGTATTTTGTCTGGGAAGGCAGAGGGGGAGGTGGGAAAAAATGGATGCAATTCTTCACCTTTCCTGATAAAACATCCTTCTGAAATCTAGCAACGTTCCCTCCTTGGCAAACACACAGAAAACTCGGTTATGTGAAAATAGCAATATTTTATCAAAAAAAAACCATCATCCATCTATCCTAGCATCTCAGAGCAGTCCATTCCAGTACAAGTGTTGGCCACTAAAAAGTTTTTGACCCATAAACCAATTATTTTGACCAATTCATGCAGAAATAGCATTCCCCACTCCTTAGATAAAGACAGACTTTGGGGTTCATTGTGACAAGTGAGAACCAGGAGACTGCAGTACTAAATACATTCATTTTCTCCAGTGCTTTCAGACCGATTGGGAAGAAAAGTCCAGGCAGACATCTTACCACATTCAGATTTGCAGAGTAGGGGGCAGGATCCCAGGCTACTAAGATAACATCTTTGTACAAGGAGCTGTCGACAAAGTGATGGTTTGGGTTGGTGAGAATCTGCAAACACAGATGCAAAGAATTGCACAGCGTTAAAAGTGGGATCCAGAAAACCGGCAAAATCCTTCTCTAAAATGAACAGTCCTCCCCACGCTGCTGTTTGTTCTGCTTTAATTCTGGTCGCTTTTAAGCATCTTGTTTTGTTAAAAAAATATATAAAAAAGAGCTTAGCCATAAACAGCACTCATAACAGTTTGAAGTAGCAGTATGCTGAATTACTCTCCATCTGTGAAGGATGTGATGGGACCACTTGAGATGCTGCATAATTGTATATCAACATTACTGTGTATTCTGGAACTTGAAAGCGAAAGCTACGGTATTTCAGACCACCTGCAGGATCCTCTTCTTAGACATAGAGCAGCTTTCTTTGAAGGGCTACAGCCCCCAAGGATAACGTCTTTCCCAGACAGTCTCATTTCAAGTAACTCCAAAAAGGCAAATTAGACCATGACTGTAAAAGCTGGTATGCCTAGAAAAATAATTCCAGGTATGTGATAGGGCTATTTTTGAAGTAACTGTCATATTGCTCTGATCTACTGCTCTCATATAACTCCCTCCTGCATCTCCTGGTACTCTGCCTGATCCTCCCGCCCCACTGGAAGTTTAGTCTTCACTCCTGCTGGCTCATCCCTTCCCGGCCCCTCCATGCCTAACCAGATCTCTCTGATCCCTGGTGCATCCAATCTCAGGCAGGATTGAGCTGAATGGTTTCAGCATTGGTTGAAACAGCATGAATTTGGCTGTTAAACTAATCAAGATTCCAGACAAATAAATTCATACTAATTTTCATTTCCCTTTAGGATCCAATGAGCCATGTTTGATTATGCATATTTTTCTTCAGAAAAATAATATTGTTGCCATAGCAATATTCTTCCTACCATAAACTTTGAGCTTAATGACTTTCCATCAGCCTTCTACAACAAGAACAAAATTAGTCGTGCTGCCATCAGCATCCCCAACTCCATTTCTCAGAGCAGTTTTCGCCTGAGAACGTAAACTCCTTTTTTGAGAGTACAGAGTAAACAGACCAAAAGGTCAAGCTTTTAAAAGCTCGGTTCCACAGTTATCACACAAAGGAGCTCTTACTTGCCTTTCAGTAAGCAAGAGTCCTTTGGAGGTGTTGTCCACACAAATTTCGCTCTTAGTGAGTCTGCATTCATATGTATGAGATGAGTTTCTTCTGGAACAGTATCAGTTGTGGCTGCACTGGCTTCCTTCACGTCCTTTGGGCTTTCACAGCGGAGAACATGAGGGAAGAAGAGGGCCACAGCAGCCTTTTAATCAACTGAATGCAGGACTTCCAACAGCGAGGAGGGAAGGAGGGGTCAGTAAACCTGTATGGGTAACCCAACCTCAGGTAGGGAAAGCAACTTTTATCAAGTGGCCTGTGCAGATTTCACTCCTGGAGAGGGGAAGGCCAGTTTCTCAGCAAGTGGCCAGAGCATCATGGGTGGCTTCTGACCTCTTTGAAGGAGCAGAGAGGTGGTGGGAATACAAACACTTGTGAGGAAGCTGTGTGAGCTGACCTGGCCTGAACTTTAGCCATGCCCTGTGTTTTCTTGAGAGGCCTTGTGGAGAGCAAGCACTGTACAGTGCAGCTGAGAAGACCATGGGACCCTCCATAACCACCCCAGTGGGAACGTACTGTAGCAGTTCCGGGAGCCAGGAGGACCCCAGCCTGCCACGAGCAGCGGAGAGCAGCTAATTTAGCCGTTTAGTCTCTCTGAATTCACTGGGGAGCTAACAAAGCTCAGATCACTCCTTGGAAGCATTTCTCTCTTCTCCTACAGGGAGCCTACTTAGACTAGTCAACTAAATAAAAGTTTCTAAACCCTCCTCCTTGCCCGGCACAGGAGTTCAGGCATGGTCAGTACCAGGACGTTCTGGTTAACAGTAAAACAGAGAACAGTCAAAGAAAAGGAAAAAAACCCAACAAAAACCAACAAGTAAAATAAATGACATGAAGATCAATGTTCTCTGATACACTGATTTCAGCACTAAAGCCAGAGTAAGATATTTCTGCTTGCTTCCCCTGAGCAAAAGAAAGGGGGCATATTTAACCCAGATCACTTCAAAGATCTAGTCTGTCCTGCAGCCTCACAAAGAGCTACAAAACGAGTGTGAAGGGAATGACAGTGAACAGTCCTCTCTGCGGTGGCAAAGAACACGAACTTATACACACAGAGAACACACCCACCAAGGATGGACTTTGCATGGGCAGTCACTCAAAGAAGAAGAAGAAAAAACAAATTCGTAAGAATTACAGTAAATGAAAATTTTGCTCTCATTCAGGAAGAATCAGTATGTATAGAGCATGCTACGTGGTCAACCATACTACTGGTGTTGACTAAGTAAACTCACCATTTCAATATGTCATAAAATTTCACAGTAATTCTGTTGTTGCTTTTTGGCTGCCTTTCATAAAGAGGAAAGAGGCTTGGTTTGCCCAAGACCAGAGTTCAAGCAATAGTTTTTTCAAAATTGAAAAACTACTCTTAACCATAAGGTGTCACTGTAGCTCAATGCACAATTATTTGTTGACACCCATATGCAGAAAATCCCATGTTCTGTTTCCATTCAGATGAACAAACTCACCTTACGTGTAATATCCAGTGTACATTAAAGTTTTTTTACTAGTTCATTCCAAATTTTTAAAGAACGATGACTTGCCTAAAGTTATGTGTTAAGACAATTCAGTTCCCATTTCTTTTGCCTTCCAGCGAGGAAATAATTGGGGAACTGGAGAATATGAGAAAAGAGCTTTGGGATCCCCACAGCTCGGGCTTTGTGAAGATCCCAGAGGCAGTGTGGTGCAGGTCTTCTGTACTGACAGCTCCGGCATCCTGCAGAGCCTTTACAGATGCAGGACACATGAGAAACTTTACAAACCAATTCTTTGAAACAAGGATATCAAGTAACTACTGCAATCACTCTACACTGACAGCAGTGTGAACATCCCTGTAAGGGAGAATTTCTACCTGCTCTACATCATGACTGTTAAATCACTAGCTGTTTCCCAGATTACCCAACACTTTCTCAGAAGTTATTAATTTAATGTCATATCGTACAGAAGTGACATTGACTTGAATTCACAAAAGGAAGATCTTACCTGAGAGTTAATGATCCGCATGGTTGTTTTATTTCCAACATCTTTTTCATAGCCACGTGTTGGAGCAGAATTAAATCTTAGAACGGCATCATGAGAATCTAGGAGCAGAAATGAGGGGGTAATTTGATTTTCTTAGTAATATAGAACAGTAAAATAAAGCAAATGATCTAAACTAATGTAAAACTTGCACATTTCTCCTAATCTTGATATTCTAAAGATGATAAACATTCTACTATGCACAAACAAAAATCCTCTTGCATCTGCCATACGTTATTAACATTATTATAATCCACCGGCAAAAAGTTCAGAATCATCTATTTAGCTTGCAATACTTAAATATTTCTCTTAATTGGATAAACTTAGCGTGGGAAGGTTATTAGTACACCCAGTACACACAATTGCTCACTATTTCTGTTGCAAAATTTACAAAGAATTACTCCATGCAAAAGCATGTTAATTGCAAGGATATCTAATTGCACATTTGAATGAATAACAACGCTTAACTATAAGCAAATGCTTCACAGTATTTTATAATACCTGAAAATCTCAGACTACCCCAAACCTATTAATCACACCGTGTACTTATTCTCAAGGTCAGTACAGGTCTTAAAGAGTCTCTGTAGGGAAGTCAGCCCACAAACCTGCTCACACACAGAAAGCTGAGGATCCCTTGGTAGCAAAGATCTAACAGGGCTGAACTGCCAAAGTTTCCCCACGAGCAGTTGACCTCGGAGTCATGCAGAATAGAAGGCAGCTATAGGTCAAGTATGGGTCAAGGGTAGACACTATGTGTAAGCCTCCACTGGATAAAAGATAATCACCCTCCCAGTGCTTCTTTTAAGGGGATCTCAAAGCCCAGAAGGTGGAGGGAGAGTAAGACATTATATCCATTGTCCAGAAACACACTGTCCCTGTCAATAGCCCCCTATTTTGGTCTACTTTTACCCCTTCTATCGATGGAAGCAGAGAATATGATTCAGGCCAAAATGCGTTGTCTAGCTCAAAAATGGAGGAGGCAGAAGTTTCCAAAGATAACCAACATGCTTCAATGGAGTTCAGGCCTGATCCTATCAAACTGGGATCTTCCATCCTTTCACACCTTAACTCCACACTTCTTGTACTCCAGACAAGAAAACGTTGTGTGACATGAAGCCAGCAGTCCAATCTCAGCCATACTTGCTTGCTTTAACATGTTGTGTCTGAAAAGAGAGATTTTTGCCAAGTGTCCACCGAGCCCAACTCCTCAGAAGCTAAGAAGGAGTGGAGGCTTTTTCTGTGTCCCCATGCAGGGACAACCCTAGCCTCAACACATAGCCTTCATCTGCCTAAACATAAGCATCTTGATTGTGTAGGAGCTGGAGGATGTGAAGTCAACAGAAGCTGCAGGTACTCCACGTTTTTGGAGAAGGAAAAGAAAAACAAAGGTCCTTTATACTTGAAACCTGCTTATGAATTTAAGAATATAAATTTGGACCTGCATTTGACAACTTTTTGACCATCTGTTGACTGAGAACTGGGAATTGGGTCGCGAAATGGAAATTGTATGGTTCACAACTTAACTGAAAGACAGTGTGCTGCATTTCCAACATTATCCATGCTGGTTCTTCGTATCAAGACCAAAAACCTTTCCTTCACCATAAAATATATGATCAGGACGCAGCTTAACACTGATAATAGCTGGTTTTAAGTCAACTGATTTTAATCTTCTTAAGTATTTGGAGATAACCATTTTAAAGATATAAAAAGTTTGGGGTTTGATCACAGATCCCTGTTACTTCTTGATGATGCCAAAATAATTGGGTCTCCCATTAAATAGCATGATCACGATGGGAGTGTTTGCTGTACTTGCACAATATTTCCATACCTAGTTTCATTCAAAAACAATCACGGGGGTGGAGGGGAGGAGGGCAAAAGGCAGAACACAAATTAACATTTCTCCCTGAGTTTCTCGTAGGAACACAGAAGAGGGAGCTAAAGGCCTATGAAGAGAAAGGACCTCTGCTGCTGCTTTCTTATGCCTTTTTTTCTTTCAGGAGGATAAATAGTAAAAGCCCTTTGCCTGCAGCAACTTCATCAACCAAGGCTGTACAGCCCATGGCCCAAAAACCAGAACTCATGCATGGGGTGTTTTTCCCCACTCCCTAACGATGCTGACTTTGCCATGCCTCTGTGGACACAGAGGTGCTCAGCACGCGCGCCAGGCTGAGTCCATAGAGCAGCACCACCAGCCGCCCATGGTGCCTCCAAACTGCCAGGTTTGCTTGCATTTTCAACCAAGACCTGGTAGCCCTGGTGCCAGCTCTGGGAGAGGACAGTCTTCTCCTACAGCTGTGCATGCACAAGGAAAAAGAGCACCCTGTATACTCTGATCTTTCTCTTCCTGGTCAGACTCTTCTCACTTTTTCAAGGACTAGAGGGGAGGTGGAGAGGCACGGCCAAGAGCTCAGCTGTAACACATACTATCTGGACTCTGCAGGGGAAACATAACTTTTTCCCCATGGGAATAATAATACAAACAGATGCTGGAGCTTCCATTTTCCATTTTAAGTGGGAAACACCCACACGATATATTAGCACTTCCCAGAAGCCACACTGACCACTGAGACCCACAGGTTTGCACCAGGCCCTTCTGGGATGGCTGTAAGCAGTCAGTTGGCCCCCCGCAGTTCTGGGTCAAATTCTCTGCTCAGTCACAAGTACCTGCCCATGGCCTGGAAGACACTTAGAAAAAGCCTTCTGTGACTCCTGCTGCCCCACACACTTTCCTGTACAACAGGTAGGAGGAGATCTGAAACTTCTGCGTAGGCCTTACCAAACAGCATCTCCTCCCTTTAGGCAGCATCAGATGACAATTTCCCAATTAAATCAAAAGCTCTTCCTCCAAGAATGGCATAAGCTTTCCGTGCCCAGAGTGTTCCCAAGAAGATGGGTACACACAGGAGCATACAGGCCCCAGGTACCATGTCAAGCACCAAAGTCCACACCTGGGCTGCATCTCAGTGTGTAAATATGTCATGATGCTTGCTGTAATATGTAAATATGTAAATATGTCACAATGTGCTATGGATTCGCCAATACAGCACTAATCCATACTGGTGTAAACTGGGTGTGCTGGGGAACACTGACAGAAGATTTTGTTTCAGTTAAGGATACCACACTGGAGAAGGGAGGAACTGTTACGCTTTTTCACCCCAAAGATTTCTAAATCAGTGGGGCTTCCTGTGAAATTGGGGGTTACCCTGGTGATTTTAGCTGCAGGCCGGCCAGGCACCTGTGCTGTGCTGGAAGCCTATTAGAGTAGTTTGATAATGATAGCAGCTCTAATACATCCCAGAGATTTAAAGGAAACCCATCTGCATCAAAGAGATGATACAGTGCGATGAAGCAAGTATTGGGATGTGAAGTCTTGGAAGATGGGAGGATTAATGAGTGAACATCAAAAGGTTTTTATAGAGAGCTGAAGGAAATAACTCTTCTTGCTCCAGAAGCAAGTTTGACACATATGTTTCATCCTTCTTTCAGCACTCTTAGCATACTGCACGTGTACTACTAAAATGAAGAACTACTGAGACATTAACATGAGTAGTAGCACCATTTTTGAAAAGAAAAAATAAAACTGACCTGGATTAGTTTTATGGCTCCACAATCCTTTTCTGAATAGCTACTACAAAACACCCACCCTGAAGTGGGGAATTCTGTGTGACGTTGACATCTCCGCACACCAGTAACCTCACTGACTCAGTGCAGCAACGGAAAAACAATGGGCGGAGATACTTGAACTCATTTAAATTCACTCTTGGAAAAGAGGTCAGGGGACTTGACCTCAGTGCATGAGGCTGCTCAAGGGTCTGAATTCTATATGTCTGTGAACTCTAAACATGCAAGAGATGAAGAGGATGCTCTACTGCTTCTTGGCGTGGAGACAAAGTTCAGTCTGGGATAGCAATACAACAAGCAGTTTCTCTATGGGCCACCACAAAATACAGACAGGTAAGATACAGCTTTGCAGAACAAAACGTGAACATGGCTCTAATCTGCTGAAGAAATAAACACATGTTGCAGCAAAATGTTAAATATGGCAGACCTGATGAAACCAGTGCCTCCTTTATACTACAAGCTGTAATATGATAAGAAGGCACCATTGTTTTCTTTAAATCAAATTATGACTTCAGGCCCGATTTTCCTTTCAGTTGTATTGTTCTGAAAGGGAGCAGCTTCACTGAAGTCCATAAGCTCACATTCATGCAACGCTGGTGAGAGAGAACAACCAGACTTTACAGACCCATGCTTGAGAAGAATGAACCTTTTGAAAGACAAACATGAACACACACATGTACATATATATGCACATGAATAGATGCATTTCACCCACCTATTTCATCCCCCAGAGAGGAGTTCAGTATTGCACCAGCAGACATAACTACGGCACAGCTCCCAAAGCCATGTGTGTACAATTTGCCCAGTGGAATTTGGGGAACATGCTTTTCCCATCCAAGAGTAGAGAAAGGAGCCTCCTTGCCATCTATTGTTTTCACATTCACCCTTTCTTTTAGCTCACAGAATAGCTGGTCTCCTGTCAACTTGGCATTTCGTTTCCCCTTGAACCGCACCCCATGCTTATTGGTGCTCAAATAATCTTTCATCGCCTTCTGCAGTCGAGGGTTTAGCATCTTGGAAGAGACATCCCCTTTCCAAAGCTTGTAAAGAAAGGATTTCGACATTGTGGAATATAGCCCATCCCAGTCATCAGATTCATCAAGCATCTGGCTTCTCCTGTGCTTTGTTGTGCTCCTTCTCCTCATTCTTCTCTGATGGCTCCAGCTGTTCTGTAAAATATTTACTTTTGGATTATCCTCATCGGCTGAGATGAATTTTGCTATCTCTTGAAGGTGGTTGTGTGACCGAGGCTGACCAGCAGCAAATAAATAATCGTCATCATTCACTTGGTAGAAAGCACTTTTTGATTTTCTTCCTATCTGGGATGGAAAAAACTCATCTTCATTTCTGAAGGCATCTTCCAAATCAGTCCATTTCTTAATACTTCCAGTCCCCGATTTAAATGTACCTAAGAGATCTTCATTAAGAAGTACCTCATTCCCATCAATGGTTTCAGAGAATGATGGATCATGAATGGCTCCCATGATGACTCTCTGCTTGCCCTGAAGGGGCAGAAGCCTCTTAGGTTCAATGTACGAAAAGGAACTCGGAACTGGCTCAGCACTGTTGCTATCTGTAAAATAGATGAATATCACCAGAAAAAGCAGGCCCCATGCAAAGATCCCAAACAGCATGAGTTGTTTCCATTGCTTCAAGTTAGGTTTCATGGCAATGCCTTTACCAGCTCCTCTGTGCCTCGAAGTATTGGTGAAGGAAAATGAAACCTGGAAAGAACATCAAGTATTAATCAAGAATGGTTCTAAAAATAGATACAATTCAGAAATATCTTAACACGCTTTGATAGAAGGTGCAGAATTAATCGCCAAGCTGTAGCACAGAGGATTCAGAAGCAGAAACAAACTCCAGAGCCTGCAGACACTAGGAGTGACACGCTTTGGCTATAACCACACAGTGACAGCTGCTAGCTACAAAGAAGGTGGTGGCCAGTTTCTACAGTAACACTGGATCCTGCCTTCGGGGAGATCATGTGTCTGCCTGCTTCTGCTATACCGAGCGTAGCATTAAAGAGAGCAAAAGCAAAACCCGTGCCTGGCTGTATGCACAGTGGGGACAATATTAGCTGTCTTCTCTTTTGCCATTGAAAGTCCTTACGCAGTGGGGCTGTGAGCAAGCCGGTCCCCAAAGGAACTAGGCAGGGAGCACAAACTCTCAGCTGGACAGCCCTCCTCTGCCCACAGCCTGGAAAGGATGGTGTTCTGTGGATATCATCAAGGGGGAATAGGGGATAGCACCACACCAGCAGGTCGGAGGGCAACCTTTTCTTTTCCTCAGCTAGTATAAACTGGCACAGCATCAGTGGGTCACATCATTTGTCGCCCAGGATGAGACCCAAATAAGAGCGACTGTTGTACCTCTGCTATGGGTGCTGCATGCATACTGAGGTGGCATGAAGGAGGTCTGCACGTCAAGGCGTGAGGGGTTTGCATTTTCCAGAAGGGGGGATGGATGGCACAACTAACTAAATACATGCCTTTAGGATAATGACAGAGATTTACATAAAGGGGAGTGGATAGGGAATGTCAGACCTAGACTTGGAAATCTGTGCTCTACTAATATCTGGGGATTTTGGGCAGCTTGTGCATTAGTGGAGGGATGCATGGTCCAAAATGAAATAAAGTCTGACTGAGGGGGCTGTGTTCCAAGGAAAATACACTAACACATTGCTGGACCATCACGCACACTATGCCCTTACACGAACTCACTTGCTTAATCAAGTGGTGTGGGCATCAGTGGCAAAGCTGGCTGAAGGAAGTCCGGCCCTCCCCTATCATAAACCTTATCATTCACCTCCCTGCACAATAGTCATCATCAGCCTCAGTTGCTACACCACAGTGTAACTCAGTGTACTACTTAGTGACAGATCACTTACCTGATCTAGATTAAAAATAAGCCCCTTCTTCTGGAGTTTTCTTTCTAACCCCATTTGTTTCAATGACTGCTTAATGGTGGGACTTAAGAGACACTTGTACCAGCCAGCTGTGATCAGAAAAGGGGAACGGGAGCGGGGGCAGGCTCGGATTTCATTAACAGCCTGTGCCTCAGGAGCCACCATCTCATCACACCACATCCGAACAGCACGCACAGCTTACACACCTCTGGTAACACACTGCCTGCTTATACCTGACCATCAGGAGGGACCAAAAACACAGTCACCATATGCTATCACCTTTCTGCAAGCTGCTAAAGTACATCAAAGCTGAGCGCAAAGTTTAGACCAAAGCTGTAACTAAGGCTGTATTTTCACATTGAAAAGAAACCAGCAATAACACTGGTGTAAGGCGTTCTCCGCTCTGTCCCTCATTCCTGCACCGTGCCTCCGCGGCTGCCAACACCTCTGTGTATGGGGCTGGCATGTTACAAACTGGACCAGTAAACTGATACAGCAGGGGGTTAGGGTGGGGAAATAGATGTTAGAGGGGTCTTTTGCTTTGTTTTTAAACTGGGTCAGCCCCTTTATCCACTTCAGTGTGGTCACACATCCAGTTGTCTCAGCACAATCGAGGAGATTGCCTACCACAATGCAGAGGCGAGAATAAACCGCTGGTGGTATTAGCAGGGATACTTCAGGCTAGCATTTCCGCTGACCTCCTGGGAATGTGAGGCCACAGCATTACATTTCCAAACACAGTCTATTTTAATGATCTAGACAAAGCCTAGAACATTAAAAAAGGCAAGCTGACTTTAGGACTCAAGGCAGTGTCCAAACAGAGAGAGGATTCATAATGTCACACTTGGATGACCAAATTTTATTGCAAACACATTCATTTCTAATACACTGGGGAAAAAAAATCTTGAGTGCGATAACCCTGTGCTCCACACACGTTTGGCTGGGCTCACACAAACCACATGGAAAAAAGCTATTACTCCAACTGACCCATCTCCTACTTGCACTCTGCTGCTGCAAGATTGCTCTCTGCAGCACCTCGACCCGCGCCCCTCCGCCCCCCCCCCCCCCCCTTCCAATTTTAAATCACTGCAGGCGATGTCCTGTGGGAGTCAACTTACAGTATTATGACTGTTGTGCAATTTAGTGCTGCCCTGAAGTTATTGCAACCTGCCCACTCATCAGTGTTCAGATGGTTTGCATTTTTAAATCAGCATTCTTTGCCCGTCTGAACCGCTTTCATCCCTTTTTATCATTTTCCCTGCTGTGTTTCCCCAGCACTTTTCAACACGTGGCTTCCAAACCACTGTGTATGTTTCTCCTGCTGAATATACATTTCTTACAGGATCCGCAAAGGAAGCATCTTGCAGAATCTTTTTAACAGACAAGCTTGCAGGAAGTCAAAGCTATAAAGGAAGAGGTCACTAATATTTTCCACTGAGTCACGTAACAAGTCCAAACACAATTTAAACATAATCCGTAACAAAATCTCACATTTTTCTCAATTTTTTCCAAGTTTTGTTGTATCTTATAACCAGAAGTTGATAAGAAATAGAAAGGGTTTAATCTTCATTCAGGTGTGAAACTATGAAAGTTTCTAATTGTCTGCGATCACATGCGCTTGGTGCAGCAGACTGCCTCAGCATGAAGAATTAGTCTGGACTCCTAAATTTGATATTCAGGTTACACTCTGAAAAGGGAATGAGTAGCATTATTAATTATTTTTAAATTAAACCGAATGTTTTTTTTCCCCCCTAACACTTACAAGGTCATAAAAGCACACTCGTTTTGGTTGGTGTGCACATATGAGCATGCACACGGTTACCTTTTTCATGCAGCAGAAAATTATCTGCGTAAAACAAAAAATCGGCGTACAGCAGTATATTTGTCAACACTGCAAACAAAAGGAGAGGCACCAGTGAGAATAAATCCGAAAACTTTACACATTAACTACTGCAGAAGCTTATCTACAATCCCTTGTTGCAAGTGGGGCCTCAAAAAGGATACTCAAATCTCTTGAAGACCAGAGCTATGCAGGCAACTCTCTGTGCTGCTTTAATGTTTTTTCTCACAAGAAAAGCCTTGTCCTCCAGCAGTACAGCTGAGCTGGAAGCGAATTCAAGGTCATTACTGTATTAGTTGCAAGAGGACCCCTACAACCTCACAGGATCTTGAAGGCTGTGTGTGGAAAGCTGCAGTAAGTCCAGAGAAATATCAGTTTATCTTATCTCCCTCTACACTAAACATCCAGTCCTCTCCCCCTCAGCCCCTGCGGCTTCTCGCACCTCACAGTCCCCAGCTTTGGGAATGTCTGGGAGGAGAGGGCAGCCCCACCCCCCCATTGGCAGCAGACCCCCTCGGTACCACCGGGGGACGTGCTTGGGCTCATGCCCTGTGTTGCTGGAGGCAGCTCATCTCAACTGCAAAGAGAAAAACATTTGTGTAGGAAACCAGAAATTAGGATCGTAATGAATTACACTGGCTAAATAAAGAAAAACAGGCGGTTTCCTGGGTGTAATTATTGAAGTCCACTGGATGCTTCAGGAAGAAACTTCCACCTCTCTCATCTATGCTCATCATACAGCTTTCAAGCTGTCAAAGCAATTCTAAGCAAATTTTAAAATTATCATTCACGTTGCTCATTGTCTCCAACTTCACCTATCATTCACATTGCTCATTGTCTCCAGCTTCACCACCCCTGCCGTAATAATCCTCCCTACTTACAAACAATGAGACCGCTGCTAAGGAGGACCAGAGGCGTAAGTCTGCACCTGGGGAAAACACCCAAGACTTAACCCAACCCAGCTTCCTCTTCCACAGAAGTAATAAATCTGTTTGCCCCAGAGGCTGAAGATCTCATTTTCCTATGTATCTCCCTTCTGATGGGCTCTTTCAATCATTAACTGATTTAAGCTCCAACTGCCGTATGGAGAGGGGCTTTTTTCTTACCCACTTTGGTTGTTTGAATGAAAGCCATGGAAAACATGAGGCAAGGTACAAACCAGTGAAGTGGGCAGAAAGGGGAGACCTATTTATTTGCTTAATAGAAGTACCAGCAGCAGCTATGAAAAAGAAAGGCAAACCTCAAGGGTATCTTTGAAGCATCCCAGGAAATAAAGCCAATTCCCCAGTGGAAATTAAAGGCCGATTTTCCAAAAGCGGCACCCATTTATGGGAAATTTCATTTCGCTACACTAAGATGCAAGAAACCAATGTGTTCCCCCTCCCTTTATATAGCCCATTGTTTTGCAACAAGGAGCACTTTTAATTTTTCTAAAGTAGGCCTCCTGACTATTTCTTAAATGAGAAGAGATGGATGAGGGAAATTTTTTTTTTACTCCTTTGAAACATTCCTCCCTTTCAACACTGCCTATTGTTAAATTAATTCATACAGACCCCAGCAGCTCAGAGGTCAGGATGGTTCAAGTTGATGTTCTAAGATGTGCACTGTTATGTTAAACAGGGTTTTTCTTGGCTGCAGCTTGCAGCGAGAAGGTCACCTCAGGGTTATTCGGGGTAGCAAATGTTAGCTGTGGGCAACCGTTCCCAAAGGGCTGAGAATCAGACCAAGGTTTATTTGATGGAAAGCTTAGGCGGCCTGAACAGATAGCAAATGCTCCTTTAGTTTGCTTCATCTCTTAGTCAGCTAATTCCAGGGTATTAAGAAACCTCTGGCATAGGGCAAGGCAGCTGGAGGCTGCATTTCCAGGGTGGGGAAACACATTCATCCCCTCATGTGGGAAGTGCCAAATTGGTTTTAGCATTATCACATCATTT